CCTTTTGAGCAAATAACCCTGCTAAAGTAGTTTAGCAAGAAGCCCCACCCTAAATATCAGATTATTTTAAATAAGTGATTAGGTGTGATGTCTGATCACCCTGTGTCCTAAGCAAGAATCCTATTACTTCAGTTTATCCAGAATCTCTCATGTTCCTAATGTTTCTTTAGTCATTTTCCATCTGATAATCACCACGTGGCTTCTCAGCTGTTAATTTCCACTGCCCATTCTGTATTTGAAGTTAAGCCCAATTTCTCTTTCCAGTGAAACTCATTTCTGTGGATCTTAAGCTTACGATGATGGTCCAAAAGCTTTTCTCACTTAACTTTAACCAATGTCTTTGAATCAATTTCTTTAAATAGATTTCAAACTTTTTTGGACTATTTTCCACAGTAAAAACAGTCTTGGGATGTTCATAGTAGTAATAATAAGTACAGAAAGAATGATGGTTTGGCAGAGGCTGAGTCAGATGGGAGGAATAGAAAGATTTGACATTATTGTATAATAATAGTTGTTGATTGTTTAGTCTTACAAGATGAAAGGAGTCATGAAGATGCATGGTGTTGATGGTCCTAGGACCTTGAGAGAAAGATAATAAATTTTATGTAGTATATATTTTATGAAAATAAATTTAAAAATACCAAAAACACCAGTATATAAAATATATGTAATCCATAGTGCTTGTCAAAGTTATACATATAGTGACAAAATAATGAGCAACGTTATTCCACTAACAGGTTAAGATCTGAATCAATTATGGCCCATCTGCACTAAAGTACAAAAAAATACTGATGTCTTAGTATTAGCAGAATGTTCCCAGAATAAATTGTTCCTAGAAAGTGAGCATGTGCCTCAGATAATGACTATTGTCCTGCCATTTCCCCATTGTCACCCCCACCATCTTCTCAGAGTACCTGATAGACCTGATAGACTAAATTTGTTCACTTTTGAAAAGGTTTTTAAAGCTTCTACAAAAGGCCCATAACATGAATGATGCGGCAAGTTGTTGCCAGAATAAATTTAATCCCAACATATTTGTGATCTTGTCCACCTTTCCTGAGAGACCAAATCATGCTTCACTGGTGCATCATTTTCACTGGACTAGAGGCCTAGCATGTGTCTTGAAAAAAACTTCAGCATATTTTAATTATAAATAAAACTCTTAGTTTTGAAATGTTAAAGATCCATAATGTGGGATCTCCATCTAAAAGTTAAGTCAGTTTCTCTCCCTGTCCTGAAAAGTGTCCCTAGGAAACAGAGCCATTTAGGATTGTTTGTATGAAGCAGTCTTAAAGAAAATCATTAGGATATTTTAGAAAATTTTTTGCTCAGCCAGAAAAAATACTCAAGAGACCTATCACTTGGTATTCTGAGCATTCTACTGCCACCTAGTGTCTAGAATTTTCAGATACTATTAGGAGTGAATATGCTCAAGGTTAAAACCTTGAGCAATAAACATGGTCAGTATACTTTGACCCCATAGATTCTGAATTTTTGGTCCCTTTTGAAAAAGTTTTTAAGTTGAGAAATCACTCACCATAAGCAGTTTCCTGTATGGGACAACCCTCTTGTAAACATCACTTGGTTTTGTGTGTGAGTCCTTTGTTGTCCCACCTTGCAAGCACTTAGGAAAATTTGCCCACAAAAGTGGCAGTGACCCCAATCTTCATTGGCAAAATTGGGAGTCCTTTGAAATTTCTAAATGGCATGTTCATACACATAATTGGGAAAAGCTAGTTATAGAATTATGCAAATTGAATGGGAAAGTTATTTTCAATGTTATATAGAAGCTACCTCAGATACAGTAGAACCACCTTTTTTTTTCAGGAGGTAAATAAAAAGTTTCCAGAATCCATTTTGAAATTAATATCTCAGAGAGCTGTTCTACTCCAAACACTCTTCCACTACCTCTCTTGCACCTCTTCATGCTCTTCTGTACAGTCTTCCACATCTTTAACTCCGCATTTTAACCTCCATCTCCACCCCCACAGAAGATAATACAACAGATTCCAGTTGTAACCAGTTTGTAACTTTAACCACCCTAGTTTGGCTACCCTCTCATGTAAAGCCTGTAACAAAGCATTATTAGCCTTAGTGTATAACCTGTGAACCAATACTGATGTTGTAAATGGTTTTTCAGACCCAACTGAGGTCCCATATATGTTGCTAGGGAATTCAATTTAAATGTGTAAACTTTTGAGCCTACATAAATGTAAATTAAGATAAAAAAAGTTTCAGAAAGAAAAAAACATAAAACTGTTTTTCTTGAAATTTAAAAATAAAAATGCATTAAAAATACCTATTCGATGCCTGCAGTAAGATATATAGCCCCAGCTAGGTGCTACTTTATAGGATGTTCATTCTACTCACTGAGGCTTATGCCTAAAGTTAGACTTGTGTTCATGGAAATG